TAGCTTTACTCAATATTGAAAGATAACAAACAAACGATTTAAACTTGAAAATATAAATGACCATTTTGCCAACAAAAAGGCAAGAAAAATGGATTTTTTGAAATGAGTACAGTATTATTTATTGTGTAGATTCTAATTGACTGTTAATGTTCAATTTATTTGGTATTTTATAATTAATTATATTAAAATTAATAAAAATGGCTAGAAATATTATTACATTTATTTGTAAATACCTATATGTGTTTTAGATATGTTAACCTTATTTGTATGAGTAAAAACTCATAATTCCCACAAATAATGTTTTCAAACTTGGAAAAATTAATTTTCAAAAGGTTAATTTTTCAATTTTCAAGGGGGGGAGGGTCCAAATTAGTATTGTTGCGGCACTGGTACTACTACACTGGTCACTGGTATATACAACGTAGGTACCTGTAAGTTTTTGATTTTAGTAATTTTATACTTTTGGTTTTAATATTGTGTCTGTTTATTACTAATCAGTAATTACATACTAACTATAATAACAATACCTAATMATTTTTTTTTTGGGAAGATTAAGATCACTCATTTTTATACCAACCTTGCAGCTGGTTACCTAGTATCTTGTATACTTAAAGTTTACAAAATGCATCATAACTTGCGATACCTAGCTGATAATTTACAGATTATGATTGTCATGTCGCCAATATCATTAATTGTTGACATCGAATCAGGCTTTTCTTAAAAACCGGGTATCGGGCATCGGTGAACTTGGCATCCACAGACTTCCCTGACAAGAGTTTATGCTGGATTACGCATATAATACAGCATATTATATTCTACATTCGACATTATAAATAGCAAAAACTGTTTCAATCTCTATCTCGAAAAACATCGTTTTAGCAGTTGGTTTATTTGTTTATTAATTACCTAGTTAGCTTGGGTAAGCAAAGGCTTGTGCAGTGAAATGCGAGGTTCGAGTTCCCATTTGTGATTGTGGTTATTAATTATTATAATAAAGCAAATAAATTGTTTCTAAATCTCGTTATCTTTATTTAATAGTCAATATTTTAGTTTTAGTTCAGGTTGGTTTGACGAAGTTAACACTTTGGAGTTTGGTTTCGTATTCCGAAATTTGATTATCTGATTACCCTTTTAGATTTTGAACCGAGATGAATGATGAATGAATTGAATTTACAATGATGTTTTTGTCACTGTCTTTTATTTTTAAAACAGTCATAATGCATAAGAACATAAGAACCTTATTTACTGGTAGGAAAGTGAACATAAATGGTGATTTCGAGACCAAAAGTATAAAATATTCCTAGTTGGCTGGTTTCCCAGTACTTTTTAAAAGTATGTTGAAAAAAATAAAGAAATAGAAAATTAAGGAAAAACTAATTTTGGTATAGGTGACTAAAAAACGTAACAGTAGATATCCATAGAATGGTTATATTGGCAATTTAGACGGACCAAAAACTTATTAAAATATTTTTACTATTTTAGAAATATTTATGGGCAAAAAGAAATTTCAATTTTGTAGTTTTTTTAAAATTATTGACGGTAAAAAAATGTCTCTTGGTCAAAACACTTATAAAATATGTACCTAATGGCTAATACAACTTTAAAAGATTCCTCATAAGTAGTCGTCTATAGTTGATGCTCAGCAAACACCGTAATGTATATATTAATATATTACTATATTGGACGTTTAATATACCTACTAATCCATCATAAACATAAGGCATGCATGTGATGTAACATGTAAATGTAGATGTCTATGATAAGCTTAAGGTTACTCTATAATCTATATGCGCCACTTTTTTTGTCTATTTGAAGATCCAATTAAAGTATCCATCATTTATCATGTAAAAGAACACATTCAACTATTTTATAACATCTATACAAAGGCATTAATAACCTAACATTATAAGTATAACCATTTAATCTATTCTGTGGTATAACTACCATAGGTAAATATAAAATTTGACGGACGGACGGACTAATGTTAAAATATWAAAATTTAACGCCAGATAAAAAATCTGACACACGTTTTTATATTTTTTGTAGATATAGTATTATTTTAAATTCAAAGTTCGAAGAAAATTTGCGAGACAACTAGATGGAATCTAAAATCTGAATACTTATTCGAAATCTCCTGGACCAGACGAAAAGTTCCATACCATTTAGAGAGTGGCAACGGACTTGTAAGTATTTAAAAAAAATCATGAAAATGATATCTATATAGCACGGTTTAAGATATATATATATATATTATATATTATATTTATGTATATCTTAAACCGTGCTATATAGTATTGTTAAATTGGTAGATTTTACCTTATTCCGTAATACTACGCTATCTACTGGTGAATAACGGTTATGGCTTTCGCTTTATTGTGTTTTGGACACGCTTATCTAATAATGCTAGCGGAATCGTTAAAATTTTTAAAAATATGCTATCATTAATGACTAAACTATTAATTTAATTTTGATCATAGAATTCATTAATTCAAACTTCTTACTTAAACATTATATTTATTTATTGAGTTACATTTAACATTTAAACCCAAAATATTACCCAAAAATGTCTTGGCCAAACGTCACTACAATGRCCAAGCAAAACAAATCTTCAATGTACGTCGAATACAGTAACCTGATTAATGAATTAGAACAGTACATGCCGCAATTCAAAGCAACTATCAAAGATCTACAAGAGCCATCTCAATCATTCGTTACAAATTTTTACACAGATGTGTTCAACGAATTCTTTTGCGATGTGAATAATTTGATTGAGGTAATTTTCATTTTCTACATTATATTTAATAAAATGTTTTTTCCATGTATGTAGCTAGAAAAGTGCATATTATTATCTATCCCATGATTATGTGGGAAGTTGTTGTTTCAATATTTTTTTAACATATCTTCAATTGTTACCTGTAGATCCATATCAATCAAAATCTCACATACCATGAAATGTACTGTGAAACTGTACCGATATTGAACATGTGCACAGCTTTGAAATATATTTACTCGAAATTGGGAATTGATGATTTTGGTTTGAATGATATTTGTGATCCAAGTGAGTTGTTGTTATTATTAGTATTATATAAATTGTTTTAAATTGTGTACTACAATATATGTATTATGTGTATATTATGTAAAAAATGAAACATTTTCTGTCACATTTTGTCAGCAAATTGTTAAGTGAATTAAGTAACATTGTATAAAATACACTTAATGTTCATTCAATCTAATCTGATATTTAACATAGGTTTTTGAATTTAATTAATTATAATCAATTGAAATTGGCTATTAAATAGTTATTATTATTTCCTTAAAATTGTAACTACTGAAAAATCTTTAGACAAAGCATTTACTTTAACACCTTAGTTTTTTTTTAATAGACCATGCTTAATTTCTTACATTGAGAAGATTGAACAAAAGAAAATGTATTTTCTTTAAATATTTAAATTATTGATTCAACTAATTACAATATAAAGTTGAAACTAAATTTTATAGGTTCAAAAAGAACCTATCGTTTGCTGCAAACAATGATAAACTTCATAAAATATAGTGATGAAAAAATACAYGAAGTTGATGCTAAAATGAAATCTGTTAGAAATATGAAAGATACAATTGATAGATTTAAGAAGGAAAAAGATATAATTTTGAACACAATTAATAAAAAGTCGTTAGACCGTATACAACGAGAAGCTGAATTAAAAATTGTAGGTATATTTAATACATTTTTAATATTTAATTATTAATTTTGTATTTTTGGTTATCATATTATTTTAAGATTGCTGATGAAGTAAAAGATGGAAAGTCTGGATTGGCAAAAATTCAAAAACATCAAGATGATGTACTTAAAGAATTGGAGCAAGTAAAACAAGAACAATACGATATTGAAAAAAAATGTTCAAAGTTGTGTGAAGTAAAAGATAGTGTAATGTATTTTTTCAATTGTTATTGTATTATATCATACACAAATAATTGTGTGTAAAAATAGGTTACTACATTATATTATGTTTTGCTACCAAATTGGTGAAATCAGAAATGACATTCACTTCAACAAATCTATATGTATTAATTTATTATAAATTTTCTGGACAAGCCCTTTGTTTATATTATAAAACACGCATTACTAAACTTACAGATAGATAAAATAATATTGGTATAATATTGGTTCACAATTAACAAAAGATAAAATAATAGGTATTTAGGATTATTTTTGGCCTCTTTGGTCAATTTAATCTTAAGGRCTGGTCGTAGTTTATACAATTTGGTACATGGAATGGATAAAAAGCTTAATAGTTTGCATTAGGGACCCTTAACATTGACCTTATAAACAATAGAATAAAATAAAAAATATTGTGATCCATATATTTTTACAAGTCATGTTTGATCAATATTTTGTCAACTTTATTTGGTGGATCATCTGTGTGTTACATGCCTTCTCTTACATCTTTGTCTTTTATAAAATATTAATATATTCTACACATTATGGACATATTATTCATATGTTATAAATCTATCTATTATTGTTTTAGAGCACTTTTTTTTTTTTTCCGTTTTAACCGACGACGCCGCGAGATCTGCTTTTGCATTGCTTCCGCGGCGCCGCATTGTTTTAGAGCACTAGAATATCAAAATTAGTTATATCTTTATAGCTATTTACATTATTTTATAATTCTATTTTTTAATGATTTTAGATCGTCAGAGATATAAACGATTTTAGAGCACAAATTGTAGAGGCACCGGATTTATTAAAAGCTGATCATGAACATCTAAAAAGATTGAAAAATGAAATTACAGAAAAGAAATCTGCAATGATGGGGCAAGTCAGTGCTAAAAAACAAACTGTTATAATTCTGGAACAAGAACTAGTTGCACAAGAAAAACGTTTACGTTTGCTAACAGATGTAACTGAAAAAAATGAAAGAATTTCGTAAGTTACATAACATGTTGTATAATCACCCCTTTGAATTAATTTTATTTGAGTAGACTTAAACAAACTAATTTTAGTTCAGTTTGATAGAAATTGTATAGTTATTTGTTTATAAAATGAGAATTATGTATTTATTTTTTAATCAATTGTTCTTCTGTCTTAGTAAATTAATCAATGAAATTGAAACTATGTCACAAACAAAATGTGAACTAGAAGAGTCTTCTGTAAATTTAAAGGAAAGGATTGAAATTCTGGAACGTGAACGAGCTGAAATAAATAACAAAATAAGTTATTTTGCTAAAGAAATGGAGAGAGAACGCAATTCATACAATTCTAAATATGATGCATTAAATAAGTAAAAATACTTTATCAATTTTAGGATTTTTCATTTCACATAATGGCCCATTTACACGATGATAATTTTATTACAATTATGGTAAAACTACACAACATTGTGATAGTAAAAATAAACTATCTAGAATAGTTAGATACTACTGTCATATCATACGCTGGCCCACGAGAGATCATTATTATATCCAAACCGAAATTTGTTCTATTACACTCATTTGACATACACTGAATGGCACTAAATGAAAAATTCCGCAGACTCCTTAACTATCACAATTTACTATGGTCGTATAAATGGGCTTCAAATTTAATTTGAATGTGTACTTATTAACAAGGTTAGCGTTGAATATAATAATATGTATTTAAAGCTTATATTTTTATTATTAAAATATAATGGTTATACATAATTATCTCTCTATAACATTCAAAAAATATTTGTCTATTTGTATTTTTATAACTGTTACATAAATATATTTAAACTTAATTATATTAAAAGTGTACATTTATTGTATAATGTTTTAAGTATGTTTTATTTGTTCATAATATTATGATGTATATGTTTTAGAGAAATTGACAGTATGATAAAACAATCCAGTCATCAATCTGAAACTATAAAATTGTTAGAATTTGAAATCAATAAATGTAATTTACATAAGAAAGAATTGGAGATTGATGTGATTACTATTATGAAGGACTTTGAATTCGCCATGGATGCTTTAAACGAATTAGTAAATAAAATTTTTTTTTTTTTTAAATTATTTTTATCCAAAATTGACATTAATTTATGTTACTGATTTACAGCAAAACAATTTCCATTTAGAAACAATTAAAAATCTAATGCCTGTTGTGCAGAATGAACATTAAGTCTATTAATACATTTTTGTAAATTTTATTCTTTCATGTGTATATATTAATTTTTGTATCAATTGAATCTTTTGTATCTTGTTGTATTTATTAAAAGTATAACYGTGAAAAGTATTTTTTTGAAACTTCTGTGCTTCGTTTGATTTACTTTACTCTTAATGTAGTGTTAAAGAAATCAAAACTTTATTCTAGTGTCTAAATTATGTTATTTTATTTTTGTATTTCATATTTTTATGCAATAAAATATACAAATTTTAAAAGCATATAACTTAAGAGTAGTTTTTTGAAGTATCGGTTTTCATAATATTGCTTTATAAATTTACAACCATTTAACCTCGTGGGCCATAACATCCGTAACATATTAGAAATACAGATTTCTGATTTATGTGTAATCGATGTTAGGCGTACAATAAAAAAATAATAATGCCTTTAGATTTAGCAAGATCAATTTAATAATATTTTTGTATTACTGTACCTATACCTTTGCTTATTRTTTTACACCCAAACCCTAAGATAAGCTAATAGAGTTCTCAGATCTAAAAAATGCATATATATTTAATGAGTAGTTATTTCMACGTCCGGCGAAAATTTCTACCTATATTCTATTTTTATATCCTGCCCCCTGACCGGTCTCAAACTCGTATTATAGTGTTGTATTATTTATGTGGTTATATCACAGTCTCGCAAATTTGCGTTAGGTACCTATATTACAATTTATAGTAATAATGATATTAATTTAATGATAAAATTCGATAATGATCGAACGTAAAAATCATGTACAGTGAAACCTCTAAATACCGGACACTCTCGGTCGCTTAAACGTCGTCTGCTATTAAGAGTGGAAATACATTGAGTACAGATTTCACCGTTCCCAAAATTCCGTCCGTTAAAGGAGGTTTCACTGCACTATAATAGTAGTGCAATCACAGGACAGTGGTACTGCAATAATGGTCTAAATTCTAAGGTAGGTAGAAAAGTAACTGCCCACTCCTCACAATTATTATTATTATTATTATACACGCATACGCATTTTAAGTTTGTAATTACTAATTAGTAGGTCTATCAAACAAAAATGTTAATATGCTTTTTCATTTTTTTGGCGTTAACTTTGCCGCGTTTTCATTTAGAAAAACAATTTTGGTGATCTTCTGACAGCTGGTCTTGGCTATGACCTCTACACACGGTTGTTAAAATTTTACTGTGATAACATTTTGGTGATATATGATAAGCATTAGTAATTGAAAAGAATTTGTTATTTAATATTTATTTGCATTTTGCTAGACGACTTGGTATAATTATTATTCATACAGATACAATTATCTCGGATTTGTCCCAGGCACCGTAATTTAAACTGAGAATCCTACAGACAATATAACTTCACTTATATACTTTTGGTTTTTCAGCTGAGAGAGATGTCGTTTTTCAGTCCATTCTTCCGGAACCCAATTACCGATTTAACAGGTCCACTGGTGTCTGCACAGACGGGTTTACGCTGTGCAGATTTTGAAATGAGATTGATGAACTGTTACGAGGCTTACGGCTATCCAAAAGGTATGGAAGTATGTCAAGCRTACTATGACGACTTCAAGGAATGCTGCACTAGAGAAAAACAGGTATGTTCATTGATCTTGTTATTGTGTAGGAGTTACGCTTTTAAACATCAGTTAAACATTTTTGATTGRGTCATAGTTGTTTTAGTAGAATGTYATTTTTTCTAAACTTTTACGAAATGATAGTACTAGTAGTAAAATTAAAAGAAATTATAGCCAAGTGCATGAGTTTACTATGGTCCAAAAATTTTTCTACTTTGTATATAACTACTTATCAAAGCACCCCTAAAATAAATTTAAAAAAAATATAGGTACCTACATTCATTCATATAAACTTCAAATCAAAAATATTAGGATTTGTTTGTCAATCAAAATATGCGTTGTTTCTCATTTTTATGAGTTTCGTTGCTTTATTAAAGGTACTGCACATTTGAGAATATTTTTTAGTAAATTTATTTACATATAATATGAAAAAGCTCTCTAAGTCCTAGGGGTCATTTGTACTATTATGTTTCATGAAAATCTGCCTGGATACTACTCTGAGTACTCTCAAATGTAATTTTATTCCAAAATTAGATTTTAATATGATAACAGTTCCAGTCACCAAATATTTCAAGTTAGGTGCATAATAACTAAAAAGTAAAAAACTGTTGAGAAGACTATAAGTGCTTAACACAAAAAAATTACGCTCAGCAGATCACGCTTTGTTAGCTTATAAATTAGAGCAAATTGGCATATTATGAAACTTAATGTTAAAGAAATAATCTGTTTGTATGTAGGTTTTTTACGATAGCTTAATTTTATATTATACATGCAAAATTTGGTATTATAATGAACTACTGTAAAAAAACCCACTTATAAAACAACTTTGTATGTGTTAACTAGTTTTTATGAAGTGGTTGATTTAATTTCTCATTATTTGATAGTTTTTTACTGAAATGCAGGTATTCACAATTTTTGTGACTATTATTTGTAAATTATATCTTAAAACTTGTTGGAAAAATATAATCACCATGTTTAATGATRATATGATTACTTTAAAATGTCTTGTTTATAGATGACTCGAGTACAATTAATTCAAAATGAACGTGAGCGTCAAGCCAAACCTGAGTATGAAAAACCGCCAGCAATGCACGCGTTTTAGTATATSTGCTTACATAATGTGTTTGTTTAACATGCACATTTTATATAAATAAAACTGTTTTAATAATTATATGTTATCTTTAATTTTAGCTTATAAAGATAAACATGTGTAGGTCCTTATTGTATAAAAAAAAAAATATACACAAATAATTAAATTAATTTCCATTGGCTTTAAATCGCTTATTACTAGAATTATTGCCATCGTCATTTCTCCGTTTGTTATATCTTTTTCCTCCCTTATTCTTGTTCTTTTCCCTTTTCATTTTATCTTTCATGTTGAGAACACCTTTCATTTCCTTGGTCATTTCATTCAACACAGTTTGTTCAACCTCCTCATCAGGTAATGAGAACTTGATTTCCAGATCATTCACTTTTTCAGCAACCTCCTCCAACAGGTCTTTGGCAGCTTTCACGGGCTTCAATCGAATCCACGCTAATTTTTCATTTTCAACTATTTTAACAAAGGCTACTTGCCATTCAAATCCAGTACAAATTGTTTTAATACTGTCAACTGTAACAGATGCATCTACATTGTCAACTTTAAGTAAATAACCTTTTTTAAAATATTTCTCAGTCTCTGCTTTTATTTTCTCATCTTTTTTTGCCAATTTATCTTCATATTCTTTTTTCTTCTCTTCAAGGAAATCTTTTTCCCACTTGCGTTCCAGTTCAACGTCCTTGTATTTAACAGATTCTAGTTTCAAAAACTTCTCAGCTTCTTCTTTGGTGTTGAATGTAAAATAAAGGGTACCTTTAAACTCTTTGGTTTTGAGTCTTCGAGGTGTGACTTTAGTAATGATCTTGTCACCAAAGGTTGAGGCAAATTCCAAAAGTTCATCCATAGTAGCCGTTTTTGGGAATCCTTTGCAGTAGATGGATCGTGCAATCATCTCGTTTAAGAACTCTTGATCGGCGACTGGCACAGCACTGTCTGCCTTGCGTCTAATTTTATCGCCAGACTCCGAGACTTCCAAAATGCTGTCAGWGGCATTTTTGACCGATTGTGCAATCACTGCCGGGTCTTTAGACAGAGATGCTAGTCTTTTGAAAGTCAACAGCACATCGATTTTCACCCAGCCATCATCTTTTTTAATCTCATTTTGTAGGAACTTGTCATAAGGTAGATTGGTATCGCTGAAGTAGAAACTGAGCTGCTTAACAATGTTTCGCTCAAGGTTTGCGGGTATGTTAACAGTTGGCTGTTCTTCTTTGTTGACAACTGCAGTAGGAACCACTGTCTCGTTTTCGGTTTTGATAATTGTAGATTTAGCCGGTGATTCTATTTTAACGTCAACTTCAGTAGGAACCACTGACTCGTTTTGTGATTTTACGTCGGAGGTACTCATCGCTGTCGTGGACGACTGTATATACAATAATAATATACAAACGAAATTAATACTTGCGGCCAGTGGTAGATTATTTATTTGAATGTAATTTAAACGTACCTGCGAAAAACGGTTTAAAAGACGACTGTTGCTTGATACCAAATTAGTTGTTGACGTTGATGTATTCAGAACACGAGGTTATATAGTAAACACCTACTTAAATGTTTTAACTCTATCAGTCCGCGGTACGCTATCATTATTCATCACTATCGTCGATCAGATAACATTTTGTTTGAGGTTAACCGTGACAGTCTCAGTCAGACGAGGCCTAAAACGTTCCAGCGCGACGATCGGTCAAATGGAAAACGTCGCTCGTCAGTCGTCACTCGTCACTACGGTTGTCAGTTTGTCACTTGTCTTAATGTCTAGTAGATAATATACTGGCGGATGACCGCTACGCTCACCTATTATAGACGCATTTCCACCATACACGCGACGTGTGCCGTGTACACATAAAAATATGTTCAGCCATGACCAACGTGGTTAATCATGTGGTTCACATGGTAACGAACGTCGGTACGTCGGACAACAAAATATGTGACAACGTCGGAAAGACGGAATATAGTATATTCATAGATATTAAAATATAAATATAAATAATTTTTTATTATCTATGAGTATATTACACACAATACAAAACACAGTGGTATAAAATATTATACACAAGTACACAACTACACTTGTCACTTGCCCCCAACTCCCACAAAACTTTATATGAAATAATATAAACGGTCTAAAATGATAAATGGCAACACAAAAGATTTGATATTTAATGCCTAGGTAGTATTCGTATCTATTTTATTCATGAACATCCAACGGGCACGGGCAACCACTAAAATATTGGATCTTATAACTATACAACTTTGYGATCCGTAGTATATAACAGAGGTGGCCACAACGAGGCTCGCGAGCCGCATGCGGCTCTTGAACCAAACTTAGACTAAAATTAAAAGTAAATAAATGTTCCTTCATTTGTTTTAAAATGAAAAATGTATCTTTATTTTATAAACATTGCTTTGCAGTGTGAGGCTCACCTCGAATTACCTTTAAAAATTTGCGGCTCCCAAAGTTAAGGTTAGTGGCCACCCCTGGTATATATATATTATGTTACATTTGGTAGTTGATACAAGTCATTGTAGATAAATTATATATTGTGTGTGACTCAGTGACTGTAATTTTCTACAGAAATTTATTTAAAGTWWWACTTTAAATAAAAATAATTTGATTTGCARTAGGAGTAATAGGACATCCAATATTTTTACAGTATTTACAATTACAATACTTATAACATAACCTATAGGACTATAAATAATTTTAAAATAATTAATTTTTTGTAATTATAAAAACAATAATTTGTACAAAATATATTTTAAATCTGCAGACTTCAGATAATAGGAAAAAAAATTAACTCAACGCAACTATAAATTTAATAAACTGATTATCATGAAATAAATATTAATATATTCAGTTAGAAGTTACTTTTTAGAGGATTAAAGTGCAATATTTGTTTTCTCTCAGATCAACAAGCAATATACATAAAACGTTCTCACTTAAAATCATTTTTGAGTAATCTTAGAGTAAAATTACCAATAACAAAAGTTATAGATAATTGTATTTTCAACTTTTCAAGGGAATATATCAGTTTTAATGTTTTGTAAATTTAAATGATGTTTAAATGGTTTCAAGACAATATAATTTTAGGGCATACTTTCAAAAATATTATTCTCTTCTGTTTTTTAAGGGTATTTGATTACTCAAAAACATTAAAAGAAATTCTGTGAAAATGTGTATTGTCTATATTGAGATTTGAGGATGAGTCAGAGAGAGAAACTAACAGTGCGCAAAATTCTTCTGAAAAAAAAAATTCATTATATGATTTACTAAAAATTAGTTAAAAAATTTGTAATTTTTTTTTCAGTTTTGTATAGTCATTATAAACATAATTATATTGATTTATCTAATCACAAACCAAAAATATTTGATAACAACAGCATAAGGCTAATTTACATAAATGTTACAATTTTTTATCCCTTTCAATCATTTGTTCAAAATATTTAAATAAAATATGTAATTATTAGAATATTATTATTTATTATAAAAAAACATAAGAACAAGAATACATTCATAAAATAATTGTCTGCTTCAAAAATAATCAATAAAAATACAAAAGAAAATTATAATTTTTAAAAGATAATATTAATGTTCACAAACTGCAAACACTTACGCTGTTGGATAAATCCACTTTTCCTTTTAATGTCTTTTTTTGAAGTCTCTGCAACCAATTATTTTTTTACATTTAATTATTTATAATTAGCATTTTATTATAAAGGATTCAAATTGTTTACAAATCAATGTTAAAACAATATTTACCTTGTTAAATATATTTGCCATGATTTTATTTGTTTTATATTCTTCCTTTCGTTTAATTTCTACCTTTTTATTTTTGACTTCAGGACACTTACGATATTTATTTTCAGTCTGTTTCCTCATTTCTCTTTGGCTCATTACACGCTTAACAGCTTAAATATTATAATATCACAATAATCATTAAATTTTATCTTAATTAAAAGCTAATATAACTTACCTAATGGATTAGGTGGAATATTATTTTCATTATTATTTGTTAACAGCATATTTCTTTTTAATTGTTTGCGTTCGTCTCTTAAACATGCTAAATTAGTTAAGATAGTTTTCCTTTCTTCTGCTCGACAAATATAATCAGGACGATTTTCCATCAAATATTCCTAAAAATTTAAAATTTAGCCATATTGAGTGATATTTTTAGTATTGAATACTCAGTATTTCAAAAAGTTTAAATGTCTTAAGTTAATTTTTACATGATTTCTAGCAATTTTTCTAAAAATTTTAATACACAAAAAAGTTAATGTAAGCAGTGTTTTGTAACAAATCGAAACCAAATAAAAATATGTTCAAGTTCAAAAACATTAATACTTTTTGAATATTGAATGATCTATGTTAAATGATTCCCYCTGTATACTATACTACTGTAACCATGACAAAATATAAAGGTATGTCAGCAACAATACGTGTTTGAATCTTGCGTACGCATTCCCACTTTACCCTATGTATTAGGTTCTCCGATCTTCATGCTTTGGTATATGCGACCAATGAGAGGCGGAGAAYGTAACACATAGTAAAAAGTGGGAAATATGTGCATGAGAATCTTGCTGACATACCTATTTACTTTGTCATTACTGTAATTATATTATTAAAAATGAATATTTAAACAAATATTAACAGAAAAATACTTGTATTCAATTTATTAGAAGAAAGTATAATTTAATCAATTCAAATTTTTTCAAAACTTATCAGTTATGAATTACTTATAGGTAATAGAATCTCTATAATTAGTTTACAATTATTTAATAAACAAGCAATATTCTTTCCAGCAAGAGAAAATTAGTTCTTCTGCACGTCCATTTGATCGAGATTGTTTATACTAAACCAGAGTCTCAAGATGAAATGTGCAAAATCACTGTGTTCTATTGCTAGACATAATACATGTAGTTATGTATTATGATTAATTACAATTGAAAACAAGTATAGCAGTTAAATTATTTAAATTTGTTAAGTACCTGCAAACTAGATTTAGGCTGGAATGGTATTTCATTTGTTTGACATGCTACAGATATTGAATGTTTTGACTGTTTTAATTGATCATTAACCTAAGAAATAAAAGAATTTAACTACTAAATTTATTTTAATAAATGTTATCATTAATAAGTCCATACAACATTTTTTTCTTTTAAACATCTTGAGGTAGGCTTAAATATTATATCATAACTTATAGAATTTTGACAGCTGATTGGTTTTATTTGGCGGTCAACTGTATAAATAACACCAGACTGAGATTTACACTTTTTATTATTTTTCACTTTAGTCTCATTAGAAGATTCAGTTTGAGACCATGCAGTTTTAAATTGATTAGTGTTTTGATTTTTTTCCTCTTTAATTCTATGAAGAGTCTTCTCACAACATTTTTTCAAAGATTTAGGTTCATCAACAAGAATTCCTTTCTTATAATGAACATGGTCACAAATTGTAGCTGAAGATTCAACATCAGTTTCATTAGATCTTGAAGTAACTGACACCAGTTTAGAAGAAACAGTTGAATCTGTGTATGTTGAAGTAGTAAGATCAGAACTTGAATTTGATGATGGAAATTTGTTACTGTAAAATTAAAAAATTAATAAATACAATTATAAGACAAAATGGCAAAGTRAATCTAATAAAGGTAAATATTCGTAAACTTTAAAAGTATGTTMAATTATTTGAAGTCATTTCAAAAAACTATTTATTTTTCTATTTTTTATCACTTTAACTGTTAGATTCTGAGCYWAGCAAAGAATGCATTGGTTACAATGTTGTGTTTATAATTTATATATCTCCGATTTATAGAAGAAAAAATGCTTTGATATTCAACTTCTATATCTTTTCTAGAAGGAAATTGAATATAGTTAGGAAAAAAACAAAAAGTAAATWTGGAATTTTTTACRCAAAATTAGTTTCATTATAATTTTGTATTTGAGCATCGAATAACAGCAGAAATTTGAAATTGTTGTACAAATTATGTTTATATTTACATTTATTCTATATGCATAATCTTCAAAATAATTTGAATTTTTTTGATGATTCCAACATTTTAGATTCTGAGWGGAGTTTTTAGTTTTTTTTTATAAATGATTATAAAGTTGTAATCATTGTGTAAAAAAGCTTGAAAATTTAATACAAGGCTCCTAATAGATTATCACAATGGTGGTTAAAAAATATTAAAAATAATTAGTGAATATTTTTATAAATAAGCATTTAAAGTTCAAATTTTGACAAAATATGTCAAAATCATGAACATTTGAAACAATGTTCGAAGTAAGTAGTATATTCTGAGGTAATATAATCTAAGAACTATACAAAAACAAGTTTTTGTTTAATAGTTATTTTAAGTTCAAATTTAGATGACATTTTATATTAAATAACCAAGAATAACAGTTTTAATTATATTGTTGTTATTTAAAAGTGTTATTCGTGGATACTTACAATTTTTAGAGTATATTCTATATTCTAACATTAATAGGTAATGCTGATAATGACTTATGTTAATACTTTAAAATAAATTGTATATACTGTGAATGACTAGCTGAGTCATAATGAACTGATTTGATTAATTTGAAATTTATTTTAAGAGTACCTACTTTTTTTTTTAATAATAACAATATAATTAATATAATATAACATATCCTAGACAAACAAATCACCTCTCAGAATCAATTTTTGTATACAATTATATTATATCATTTAATTAAAATTTAATACTATCCATTATAGTAACCCACTTGTAAACTATTATACAGTAGAGTG